GCCACCCTGCAGCCCACAAAACAACCCAATTTTACTAAAATATTGAAGCTTCATGGAAAAAAGTATATTATGGCTCGAGAATCTTAAGCAATGGCAATTTGGAAGTTTTTCAGTGTCTTTATGCCTTTTGTCCGATGGCTAGATGACAAATGTAAATTGTCCTTTAGCTTACATCTCAACAGAATAGCTTCGTTTTTTTTTTTCCGCCTCTACAACCGCCTCTCGTTCATTACGATCGGTCACATTGGAGGAGCTAGCCCAAAAATGCAAATTCCCATCCAATTTCATGGATCCGAAAGCACTCAAAATAGCCTGAACCCTGCCATGGAGAAGCACATGGAGGTGCAGGACTGCGATAGGCTTGATAAGATGATCCACGTGGTGCCTAACAGCTTGGGTTGTCAGGCATTGTTGGCTTTTAGTATGTCTAGCTCATTTGCGCCCCACTATACACCAAAGGAATATTGATCAGGACGGCTTCACTCTCAGTGTGAGATGAACAACTCTGATATTTTCAAACGTTCGAACCGAGAAATGAGTTCAGTCTGATTCTGTATGTTGCTCAGGGTGCCTAATGAAAGTAAGGGCATGGCAATCTTGTAATTATGGTAAAATATTTTATTCAGTATGCAGTTTTTCAAACCCAACTTTGTGTTTCCTGGAGACACACACACACACTTTCTTTTTTTTTTTTTTTGGGCCAGATGTCTCACGCTGCGGGAAAGAGTCCATAAGAAGAGTTGAATATGGTGATTGTGCTGTTTAATTAGAGTTTCAGTGCAGTCAGGAGTTGTTGTTTTTTCCTGAGTTGAGAAAATCTTCACTTGAGCAGCTGGTAAACTGACAGTAAATAAAGTCGTTGTTACATTCTCAAGAAATGCTTTAGAAAAAAAACAGCTCTGGCATGGACTCCACATGTTTTTCACGAGAATGTCTGGGCACCAAGACCTGGATAGAGACGGGTATTGTTACATTTTTAATGGTACAACCACTCCTACCGATGCTGCTGATCAATCTGCTACTCCTTTTTTTGTACTTTCATTTCTTCTTTTCGTTATATTCATTTTTCACACTTTGTTAAATAAGGGACAATATTCAAACCGGGTAGTATTAATAGTTTCACTTCAGAAAAAAAAAGGTGTGAGTAGTTTTTCTGCCAAAGTGTGAAAATAAAGCAAGACAGAAAGTTTGCCTGCAGCCCCCAAATCACTAAATCGTTCCTCCTCTGAGTGCTATGAAACCCAAACTGAGTTTCTGTCTGACAGCTCAG